GATAGGATATCCCCAACACTTTTGGGTGCTATTACCACAATCCGTTGTGACTTTTGGATAATGACCGGAAAGTGCAAATGTTTTTTGTTTTGTTTTTTAAATAGTTTTGATTTTATATTAAGTTCATTATTGTTTTACAGTGCTGATTTTGATCGCCTATTGACAATTAACGTAATTGATATAATAGTTTTGAAGCTATACCTCTTATTATATATATACAGACACACACACAGTAGTAGTACATTCACCTGTCTAAGGTCAACATAGAAGCTTGGTATACACTCCTCCTCCTTCCCAACACCGACTAATGGAGATTACTACATACCATGAAGGCTGCATGCTTCTTTCCTTAACATACATGGCATTTCAACACTAGATATACTCCTAGTGCTCCAGGAAAGCCTGCATGGTGACTGTTTAAGTGGACATACATCATGTCTACCTATTTTATGGTGAATTATATATATGTTCAACCCAACTGTCCGTTGACATTCAACCACAAGTTGTGAGCTTCTGTTGCTACATTGGATTCTGATTGCTTAAATAATCATCACTTAGTGATTTGAGATGTACAACCATGCCAATACTCTCACATGCAGCATGACAGAAGTAACCCTAATGGTACCCTTAGTCTTAGTTACCTCCACTTATCTTATCATGCAGATGACCATTACATCACCTCAAAGAATCCCAATGCCAGAGATGACTGTTATTTCTCGGTGTTTATCACCTAGAAATAGATGTGCCTGTCCATTGACATCTAGTTTTTTACCATTTGCCAAAATGAAGTTGATATTAACTGGCTGAAGTAGTAACTTCACTCTGAGTGCCTGATATATAGTAATAAACCAGAGTCCTGGCAGCTCCTCTATTTAACAGGAACTCCATACCTCACCCTTGTACCTTTATTGGCACCTATCAAGCACCACCCAGCCATGATAGAGATGGACTGATCTCCACACCTTTAGCTGTAAGCTGCCTGGCACACTCCCCCCAAGTCAGTGGCTCAACCTGGGTTTGCCTCTATGAGTTTTCTAGAGTTTGCTGTTGACTCTTCCTGACCTGCTGTCCATTTGGGAAAACTGAAGTGAGATGAAAGCAAATTTGCCTTAAAATGACCTATTTTGTCCACATATATGAAGCAGAAACTTTGTTCCTCACTTCCGGGCTAATATCTTGGTAGAGACATTACTGACACTGGTTGTGTTATAAGCATTATGAGAAAGCCATGCCCACTCACTGGTAGACTATGTTCTAGTGCTAGGATGTGTTGGCTGCTGGTTTAATCTCGGTGAAGCTCAAGTTTGCAGGAGGGCAAATCTATGGCCATGCAGCTACCAACTTGGGCTTCTTCCTCTCCTATGACTCATTCATAATTGTTTGTTTTTTTTAAGCTTAATGTCTCTCCAACTCAAAATATATCTCACAGCCTAAGTAATCCCTCTTTAAACTTGTCTATAATGAAATCCTCACAATTCATAGAAGCCATTGCAAGGTATGCCTTTTCATACAAATGGTACTGATCATCTATCTGCCAAAGTAGCAAAGCTCTCATTCTATAGCCTCAGATTTGACCCAATAGATAGCTTTGATCTCTTAATAGTTAAAAACATCTGCACAATTTCATTCTTGTCCCAGAATGGCTTCTTACTCAAATGTTTGATAATAAAGTATACTGGACCATCCAAATTCAAGAGCAAGCTTCCAATTCCAGCCAATCCCAGCATTGACCTACTCTAAATAGTTCAGACCCTTTTTAAATGTTGGGAAAAAAGCTTTCTAGCCTCATTCATAGGGATCTTTGCAGCATTGACAAAAATCCAACATCCAGGATAGAACTTCTCAAAGACTCAACCACTCTTATCTCTATAAATCATCTCCCCTGGGTTTAAACCTGTTGTCTTGTGAAAAAAAAAGGCCTTTTCCTCAAAAATATAACATTTTTAAACTTAATCAGATTTGAGGTTTGGAAGAACACAGTGAAATACGCTTGCCAAAAGAAAAACAGAAGACAGGAAAACAAATTCTCTTGTCATGACACCAAAATTCTCCCCTCTACCTACTCTGCTGTACTTTGAAATAATCTGTTTTTCTCATCAAATTCGATTGAAGATACAAATAACAATAGCAGATAGTATCTACTCTGCCTGATGGGATGTTGGAGAACTTTGTACATTAGTGTAGGAAAAATGTCAGCAACTTCAATGTCCTTCACTGGGCTAAAGGATAATGTCGATATGTTTCATCCAATGAATGCTACGAGAGAATGACAAGTCACATGTTGACGATTATTTTTCAATTTCGCGCAAAGCTACATGAGGGCTATCTGCGCTAGCCATCCCTAATTTAGCAGTGTAAGACTAGAGGGAAGGCAGCTAGTCACCACCACCCACCGGCAACTCTTTTACCAACAAATAGTGGGATTGACTGTCACGTTATAACGCCCCATGGCTGAAAGGGCGAGCATGTTTGGTGGGACAGGGATTCGAACCCGCGACCCTCAGATTGCGAGTCGAGCACCTTATCCACCTGCCCATGCTGGGCCCACATGGTGACGACTCAGTTGCAAAGAAAGGCTATAATGTTTCCCACATGGGTATGGAGTCTTGGTGGATTCACAGTTCTACTTGGCTATCATTATGACTAGTTCTGCACCAACTCATCTCAAGAAAGAGAAGAAAATCTGATGATCTATTCACAGGTCCAGTAAACGAAATTGTCTAAGTGTCTATGCTAGTGTACACACTGTTTTTTGTGCACCATTAATATTGTTTTCACTTGACATCATGTGTTCAATCTCCTTATTTTTCATACAAATTAAAATTCAGCCAGTTTTCAGATGCAGATTACTTCGTAAATATTCTGCTTGATCCTCCCATTACCAAGTGAACTTATCTGATATTTGCAAGGAAATGAGTTCTCACAATACTGATTGACTAAAAATTTAGTCAACCTGCTTTTCAGAAATTTTACTAATATTTTAGAAAATACTGACAGCAATGAAATAAATCTTTAATTTACATAATCATTATTATACCATTTTTTGTATATTGGAATTACTATGGCTTTTTTAGCTACTCTGGAAAAGTTTCTGCTGTAATAGATAAATTATAGATATGTACCAATGGTTATACGATGTAACTTAACACTCTTTACTATTCTTCAACTCAACTATGTTTTAGTGCACACATTTCATAACGAAAAAACTACATACTTGTTTTATATTCCTTAGTAAGAAGTCAAAACTCATACATTGAGAATTACACACTGTAATCTTAGTTTATGCTGTTCCTTGAGTCACACATTATAATTTTGGTATTATTATTGTTCCTTGAGTCACACATTATAATTTTGGTATCATTATTGTTCCTTGAGTCACACATTATAATTTTGGTATCATTATTGTTCCTTGAGTCACACATTATAATTTTGGTATTATTATTGTTCCTTGAGTCACACATTATAATTTTGGTATCATTATTGTTTCTTGAGTCACACATTATAATTTTGGTATTATTATTGTTTCTTGAGTCACACATAATTTTGGTATCATTATTGTTCCTTGAGTCACAAATTATAATTTTGGTATTATTATTGTTCTTTGAGTCACACACTATAATCTTTTTTTTTGTTCTATTCCTTTAGTTAAACACTATAATTTAATCTTTATTATTATTATTGTTTCTTGAGTCAAAAATATCTTTTTATTGCTCTTTAACTTATATGCTACAAAATTCCTTTTTTGGTATGAGTGAATAAAGTTTTTCATTTCTCTTCTTAGTTTTGAATTTGCTTTATCACTCACAGTTCATGTGAAATTTATCTTACATTATAGTTGTTCATTGTGAGTTTTTTGTATATCAATGACTTGAGACCATACATTATACACACTCAAATTATTATCTAAATTACACATGTACAAAAGTAAGATGCCATGAAAAAAATAAAATAGTTCAGGTTCATTACCAAAACTGATTTTACTTTAAATTGTACTTGTCATGTGTATATTATTTTTATGGTGTTACAGTCTACAAAATTTTCTTTTTGCAATACAGCATTTATAGTCTACATTAACATAATTTCTATATGCAGTTCATTCTGAAGTGGCACAAACCTGATATCTGAGCTTGACTGTTTATTTTTTGAAGTTATACAAAGCTACATGAGGGTTATCTGTGCTAGCTGTCCCTAATTTTAAGGTAATAGACTAGTGGGAAGGCAGCTAATCAGCACCACCCATTTTGGGCTACTTTTGTCAGACCAAGTAGTAGGATTTGACTGTCACTCTTATAATACACCCATAGCCTCAAAGTATTTTTTTTCTTTCCAGTAACAGGACATGAACCATGAACATTAGACATACAGTCCAGCACACTCACCCTTGGTCTGCACTCAACCTGTCTTAGCTTGAGAATTACAAGGTGAGACTTTACCATTTTTATTTATTGGGCATATATTTATTGTGAGTACATATGCACAACTCGTGCAGGGATCAGAACTCTTCAAGTCTGAAATGCAGATTTAATTCCAATGCTCAACCTTTTTTAGAGTGAGAAAGGTTTAATGACAACATTCAACATATTTAATGAATACAGAAATTTTAACTACAAACTTCAACCTGTTTAAAGAATACAAAGATAAAGATTTAACCACAAAGCTTATTTTGCCTAAATATAGATTGAGCCCTCAAATTTAAACATAAAATTGTAGATGTTTAGAAAGCACAGCAAGTCCAAACAATCTACAGAACAGAGAAAAAAGCCTCTAGGTGGCATGATAATTTACTATTTTTTAAATAATTTATTGTCAAGACAACAAAAGACTTGTGGGAAGAAAGGTATGTATAAAATATTTTTTCTTGTTTGCTAAATATTAAGAGATTTGTAAGGTCAGTTAATACCAGAAAATTCTGAAATTTTTTTAATGCTTTTTAAAATTATTATTGTTATCATCACCATTATTATCATTTAACCATAAGTAATGACTAACAGCAAACCAAATTTGTCTGGGTACAGTATCTTTATTTTTCTTCTTTTACTTTCTACACTGGGACATGTTTAATCTGGTGTTAAGAACAATCATCTTGGTACAAAGCACTAATGTACCACCATTTTTGAGCATATATTTAGATGACATTACAGTACTTCACTTACCAGGACTAGGAAATGTTTTATTTAATTATTTTGAATAATACTAAGTATGCAAAATAAGGAAATGCTTCTAAAACACACAGAAACATTTAGTAAAAATATACAAAAAATAAATGTTAGAAATATTCTTAAAACATGAAAGATAAATATAAAAGGTGAAAATAATATATGCAATATTAAAATGTCTAAAAAAAGCAAGTCAGTAGGATTTACGTAGTCTCAAGACAATATTTTTATGTAAACTTAGAGATTTCAAGGAAGACAGAAATTTTATACATAGGAAGACAAGAATCAAACAATTATTAGAATTTACCATGACCATCTTACATATTTTCATGATTGATAATATTTATAGGCCTACAATTTAATGTTTAAAGCTTGCATTTTCTTGTGCTTAAGGTTGTGACTTTAAAACAACGTTACGTGCAAGTTCCTTTTAAATACTATTTTTCTCCTATATTTCATGTATGCAGTGAATCTTTACTACCACCACATCTGTAAACTCGCGACTTTTTATTTAAGCTTTAAAATTCTTTTTTTCATCATAATTTTTCTTAACTTCAAAGCAAGTATCATTACTGCTTTATAGTCCAATTTTTATCTCAATATACCTTTAATTACATAGTTTCTATGCTTCAAAAATACACTTGTGTAAAAATCTGCATTTTTAGAAAGTTATGAAATCTCTTTCTTACCACACTTTTTATAACAATAAAAGCATAACACTAACAGTTTACACCAAAATGTTTTTATTGCAAGAGCTTTTAAGATATTATTTTTCTATAACACTTGACTACAATAAAATCTTTTCTTTTGTAATGTTTACATTTCAAGGATGATTTTTTTTTACAAACCATATTACTTAATTCCTGTAGTTGTTCAACTCTTTGTTAATATTCTACCATAACTATGAGTTGCTTGGCAGAAGCATGTCATTTGTCTTCATAATTATGTACCTTTCAGCCTCTGCAAATTAATATTTCATCAGAATCACATCTCAGGATCTCTGTATTTTACCATAATCAAGTGTTTGCTTCCATAAATTAGAAATCATGCAAGAATGCTCATTTTCAAGATCTTTTAAGATCTCATCTTTTTTGCATATCCTATTTTACTGCTACATGGGAAGTTTTTTGTTCTTTACTACTTTTAGTTTAGTATACAATTGATTAACACAATGAAGTTTAGATTTTAAAATGATAAACTTTTGTTCTCACATTAGGATAAAAAAATTCATAATATAAATAAACCATCAGTAGTATCATATGAAAAAGAAATACTCCGGCTTTACATTTCTGAAACCATTAAAAATTGAATATACTTCTTGTTAGTATAGAGAAAAATTATTAAATGAATTAGGCTCAACCAAGCCAGTAGTATTACTGCAAATAAATATTTTAGCCTATAATATAAATGGCAAAAAAAGATGAATTTTTGTTTTTAAAATGTTACTAAGTAAAAAAATAAAATAAAAAATGAGAGTCTGATTAAATATCAATTTGTGATGGGCAAATCTCCATAAGAATAATTCACAAAAATAGTAAACCCCATTTGGAAACACAAAGATAGTAAAACTCAAGTTAGGCAATATATATGATGCCTATTTGTTGTAATGTAATGTAAAATGCTAGTGGTGAATCCATACAAAGGTATTGCCTGATGTTTATTGCTCATATTGTTATTTATATACTTATACCAGTTTCAAATTGTGTGTATGTATTTGTTTTTTGTCAAAACAACTACGAAAAGTTTAAGGACAATAAAATTCCCTGATGTTTTCAATTGCAACAAGAACTGATTGTACTCAATATTTTGAAGACTTTAAAAAATAAATATAGATCATAATTCTTAAGGAAGATTTAAAAATACCACAAATCCTTTGTTTTAGTAAATTAAGTTAAAAAAATCTGTAAGAAAATATTTCTTACCCTAAATGCCATTGTTATGTAAATTGTTCTGAAAGGAAAAAAAAAAGGAATCCTGCTACAAAAATATAGTTGTTTTCATGATTTCATGTTAATTCTAACGCTATTACAGTTTTTTTGGCATACTTTTCCAACTCAATAAATGAACACTTGAATACATTTGACTTTTTTTTTTTCACAAGTTTTTACACAGAAAATATTAAGGCTAAAAAATAAAATAAAATTTATAATTAGACCAACAATGAAATTGAGAGCTCTGTCTTTTTGAGATGTATATGATAACAATACATTAAAACCATTTTTATGTAATGGGATGAGAAAAAAATTTCCAATTTTTCATTCTTATTTAAATTTCCAGAACTGATATTAAAAAAGAAAGTTGAAATAATTACTTGCACTAACAATTAGTACCAAAAACTACACACATTTATCTTTTACAATGTTTATAAAGCAATGGTTCTGAATTTTTATAAAAATAAATACACTTCCAATGCCACAAGATACAAGTGATTAGCAGTGGCTGAAACTGGTTGTTAGTCTTCCACTTCGAGAGTACAATTATTTATGTAAATAGGGCTAGCACCTCCAAAAATTAAAACAAAACTTGATAAAATCATTAAACATTACAAGAAGCAATGAACTGTTTGATAGATCTACATCTCCAATCACAATATATATCTGTTCAAAACGGTTGTTTGTATGTGAATTTTAAGTAAGCTTTTATCTTGTCCATTGATCAGTTTGACATCATAAGATTACAAAAAATAAAACAAAGAAATGTTTGAAAGTCAATCATCTTGTTCTGAATCATTACAAGGTTATTATCCATGTGCTGATGAAACAGGTGGCACTATATCACAGACTGTCAAGGTTTCAGAAGGAAACAAAAGTTACTGATCAAGAATTACGTTTTAGGAACATCCAGTACATTTTATCCCAAAGTCTGGTGGCAAAATTAAAACCAGTCACAAGCATGTGAAGTAAGGTGGTCATATCAATCAACACAGCTTCACACTAAATCATTGTGACTGTTCCAAAGAATTACTTGTTTGGTTATTTATTCTCAAAGCAAAGATTTGTTTTTTTACAGTTTTATATAATTCTAAATCAGAACACTCCAAACTTAATAATTTTGTAGTTTAAACATAAATTTAAGGTTTCACATAATTTGACAGATAACAGCTCCATTCCTTCACAAATGCATTGCAACAGCCTGCCTTGATAAAAAATACTGAAGTTCACGATTACATATTAAGACTTCTGAGAATAAAGAATAATTTTATCTTAAACTAGCAGTAAAAAAATTTAGCTTCTGTTTCTTTGTAGTCAACACTCAACCTTACACTTAACAGGTCCTTCAAAAGTGTAACATACCAAAACGCAACTTTTTTATGACTAATTAAAATGTTATACAACTTTATTAAAGCTAAGTTACAACACTATGTCAGTAGTGGGAAAAACCTGAGGCCCTCCTTACATTCTAACCTGTTTCACGTATAGCTTATTTATATTTAAGTGTACAATTTTTGCTTTATCACTGGTGGCCCTTTGAATGTTTGAGGATTGCATGTGTGGCCACCTATGGATTTGTTTAGATTGTCAACCACTGCTCTATATAGTAAAAAAACTACAACGAAAAAAAGATCTTGGAAGAATTTTTGAAGATGCAACTGAGCACAACACACTAAAGAAGGAAAACAAGTCTTATTCATTCAAATTAACTCAATTCAGGTTTATGGGCTTGATTTGCATTAAGTTTTTGGGGTTAATTTCCATAATCTCTATATGAAGAAATGGCAATCTTCATAAAATGTAAAAATATGATGTATAAAGCATCATTCCATCACAATATCTTTATAGTTGATCATTAATAGGCAATTAATTAAATCAAGTGACATACTGTACCTTGGGTTGTATAACAGCCAGTAGACAAAGAAAGAAAAAAAAGAGTATTGTTATCAATAATAAATGGAAATTTAAAACTTGTCACAGAATTGACTAGATTATAAAAAAACTGACTCAAATTTTCCACAAGTAAATATTAATTCTGGCTAAATGTTGCAACAGTTTGACATGTTCATCAACAATGTAAATTTTAAAAGTTCTTAAAACTGTGTAAGTAGAAGACTTGTCTAGAGAAAGCCAAATTGTTAAAATATTAAGCTGTAAAAATATTTTTTCTGGAGATCATAGGTCATTTCTTCATATACAGTTTCTAATGTTCTTTATGCCTATAAACAATGTGCATATTAGTTATTTCAAAATTTATTTTGTTTATAGTCTTTTGAATCCCATATGGTATCCCTTACCAAATTTTATGTTTATCAATTCTGTTCTGACTATGATAGTATTTAGAACTCTGTTTTAAATTTTTTGAATTAGTTTGTTTTAAAAAACAAATATTGGTGTTAATTTTCTTAAAATAAAGTTTAAGCATGTTTTTGAATTATTTGTTTATAAGAAAATTTATTTATAACACTCTTCTTAAAGCTATTTTTAAGTTCATGCTATATGATAAATAAGAATTTACAAGTGTTTAATCACTTCAACGGGAACTAACATTTATCATATGAACCTTCTAAAAAAAAACACACACATAACTTCCAAGTTTCACTTATTTACTCTGAAAAAAAAATCTAAAATAATTATATAAGTTACCAAACACATACACACACACATACATATATGTATATATATTTATATATAAACACCTGAATATTATAAAAAGGTACCAGTATGAAATAACACAATAATTATTGAGATTAGTTTCTTTTAATGAACATGTTAGTTGTCAACATTAAAAAAATAATGTAATTAGATACTAACTTCTAGCATCTTCCATAAATATACTATCAAACTGCTAGTCAATGTCAAAATGCTCTAGTTGTGATCACTTTATACACTAGTCTTTTTCTCTGTTGATAAGTAATAAAAGGCTTATTTTTACCTCAGAGGTAACTATCAATTATAATTTATCTGTTGAGAAATCTAGTTACCATTACCTACTTTAAAAGTATTCACAAACTTTTCATATTTGCCTATAAATTCTGGCAAACACATACTCAAAATGAGGATTTACACAGTGGACGTTTTGTTGTTTTTTCTATCAGGAAAAAATCTGCATTTTAAAATCTTACAGCTCTCACTTTTCTATTAAAAATACATTAAATGATATGGTCATACTATAAATTATGATCAAATAATAAGGCATTAAAGCAGTGATTGGTATCATTTTTATCTTGAATTTACACACTAAATAATCTTTGAAAACTGTGATTTCTATACACTGCTTTTAACTATGGTGATACAAGAGAACAATTTTAGCAATATTCAGTGTGGTTGGGTAAAACTTCTCCGCAAAACATTTTAAAGTTAACTGCACTTAAGTTTAATCACTTTGTGGCAATGGAGCATTGGTTGGTGAAGGAGTGGCTTGACGAGAATCATCACTTTGTTTTTGTCTCATTTGTTCCTGCATCTTAGCTAGCATCTCCTGCATCCGTTGAAGTTCTGCCTCCTTCTCCTGAATGATACGTTCTTTCTCAGACAGTCCACTATCAGGGCTTAAGAAAAGAAATTATCAGTAATGCAATAGAGAAAAGCTATTCACTTAAACAATGATTATTATTGTAAATGAACAGTGAACTGAATAGAAAGGTGTTTTAAGTAGATCTATCATATTACATCTATAGAACACAAACTACCACCAGATGCAAGGATAACACATTCAAACAACAGAAAGCAAATTACTAAGACATTATAAAAACAAAACATAAAACCTATTATCAAGGCATTCTAAAGAAGTTACCATCAAATCAACAAAAAACGTTATCATGACATTCTAAATGTACCATCATGTAAAATTAAAACCCATAAAATGTGTCAGATATTCTAAAAAAGTTACTATAACATTAACAGAAAATCTGTTATCAAGACATTCTAAAGAAAAGTTACCATCACCTCAACAGAAAAACCCGTTAGACATTCCAAAGTTACCATCACATAAACATCAAGACAATCTAAAGAAGTTACCATTACATAAGATCAAGACATTCTAGAGATAGCATCACATAACAGAAAACTTGATATTAAAGACATCCTAAAGATGAATTATCAATACAAACATAAAGCCTGTAATTGATACATTCTAAAGATTAATTACCATCACATAAACATATCATCGAGGCATTCTAAAGGAGTTACCATAAACATAAAAACATGTCATCAAGGAATTCTAAAGAAGTTACCATCACATAAACAAAAACATATCATCAAGGCATTCTAAAGGAGTTACCATCACATAAACAAAAACATGTCATCAAGGCATTCTAAAGGAGTTACCATCACATAAACATAAAAATGTTATCACAGCATTCTAAAGAAGTTATCATCAATAGAAAAGATGATTAAGACATTTCAAAAATGAGTTATCACACAAACATACTAAATATAAGTTACCATCAACAGAAAATATATTAAGACATGTTATGAAGAGTTATCATCACAGAAACATAAAACCTGTTAAAGACACTCAAAGGAACAGTTACTAACAAATTAACAGAAAACCTGTTAAAGACACTCAAAGGAAGAGTTACTAACACATCAACAATAAACCTGTTACCAAAACAATCTAAAAAAAGAAATAAAATCACATAAACAAAACGTGTTATTAAGACATTTGAAGCTGGTGTTTATTTTATACCTAGTTTTACTTATATTACTATATATGTTATGCACTAAAATTTGATTGCAGTCAAAGTTTGTTTGCTTAGCCATACTACATGTGGCAACTAGTGGATATGAAGGTTTAGAACTTTTGATAGTCTTTCAACATAAGTAAATACATAAACATAGAAAGCAGAATAATTTGCTTCCTCTGTTGATTCTAAAACATACGAGCCAAGGTAGTAATCTTCATATGACAACTCATCTGAATTATTCCACGTATTCTGTTCTGAAATCAAGGACTGATATAATAATCTATTTACATTTTACTGCATATTGGGAACTACTTGTTTAAAGCATTAAAATTTGTATTAATAGATAGTATTTATTTTAGCCCATCTTATACATAAAACTTATCCCTGTTCTCCTTTTACTAATTTTACTGTTCAAAAAGAATACTCTCTGTCATCTGTATTTACCTTTGCCCACGGGACTTCATGCAAAGCATGAATTCACACCTAATCTCAAGTTACAACAATGGTAGTTCTTTTATATAGAAAAGGAACTACCAAAGCAATTACTTCAATACAATAAAGAAACTCATTAATTTAATTTATTATCTATCAGTGGCATGCAAAAAAATACAAAATGATTAGTAACTTGCAAGATACAATCCCAGAAAGTTGAATTTTACAGTTTTTAACATCACCAGTTTCAAAAATTAACCATGTTCAAACTATTTTAAGTAAAATAAGCAACAGACTTGTACAAACTTTACAAATTTCTGACTTTGTTCTGTACAATGACAAGTTCTATCAGCACAGGTGGGAAGTTTGATAACTTTATACAAAACAAATGTTAATAAAACATACATAAAAAGAAAATTTTAAATCTCAATATTTCAGCTATGATTTTATTTTTGAAATACTTTGAGAGGAAAGATTACACAATTTTTCAAAACTTGGTATCATTTACCTACTGTAAAAACTGAGTATTAATAATACACATAGGTTTCTAAAGAAAAAAGGTTTGGTCAAAAACAGTAGTTTCCAAACATACAAAGATATAATCTTTAATATGTGAAAACACTTTTCTATTCTGAGCCTCAAAAATAAATTCAAAGCATTTTCAAATTATATTCCTTAACAAAATAAAAAATATCAATAAAACTAGCATACGTTGACATCTTCCGAGGTACAGCTTTCCCAGCCAGTCTCTCAGACCGATAGTTCTCATAGTGGAGCTCCTGGGTAACTTCTTGCAGATCTTGCATGTGAGTTCTGTATGGAACAGTTTCTTTGAAATAATGTTACCTTGAACACAACCTTTTAAAGCATTTTACGTTATTTCAAAACCTTCTAAAGTCCCATTTTTATAACTTCCATTTTAATAGTTTTCCTAAAAATCAAAAACTATAGTTCTCTTATGTTTACTTAGCTCTTTCTGATACGTTTTCACAATTACAAACAGCCACAAAACTTCTGCTAATAAGTTTTAATAAATTTAGCCAATTTAGTCTTACTAATGTGACTTTACTTGCTTGCTTGACTTCCCTTATTCCCTTTGATATACATCAAAATATCTGACAAAAAGAAGTGGGAGCTATCTTTCAATTATGATCAGCTAGTCTATACTAACCCTCTTGCTACCTATGTCAAAGTACGCATGCCACGACCTATTATAGAGTTTGATTCGAAATTTAATTCAACTACTTTATTATCAATGTATATGAATAAGCTATGCATCAAAACATAGTTAATATATCAAATTTTAATATTATATAAGCTTTAAATTATTCTTGTAAAGAAATTTAAATGAATCCTTAATCTCTTCTAGTATGAGAATAGTGACATTTGTTCTCCAAGTCTTCCCCATTCTCTTAATGTATTTACCACCCCTTTCTGAAGTGTGGAATTTAACATAAGTTACTCATTATAAAATAGATATTACTAAAGCAAAGTCAAATTTTTTATAGCCCTTAATCTTCTTTGTTTACAGAGACATAAACTAACAAATCAGATAAACTTGCCACATCCTCTCTTTTCCAAATTGCTAATAGTTCTCTCTGATGTTTTATATCATTTATAAGGAATAGAAATTTAAAATTTTAATCTATCAAAAATGACTTGTAATATTACGTTGTTATCTGTATAGAGTATTGTCAGTTTCATCTTCAGTCTGAAAGTATATTTCGTGGCATTCAAATCAAATAGCTAAAGAAACAAATTTAAGCCCATGTTGCCTTAGTTAGAAAGCCAGTTAAATTACAATAGTTATAGGACATTGTTTACTTTGCGTGTGTTATTATTCTGCATTCTTAAGTTCATTATTTAAGTAAATAGAAATATTTAGTTTACTAATACCATAATTATAAAAAAGTATGCTTAAATTTTCTGGGCAACTAACAGCATAAAAAAACAAACAAGAGATCAAAAATGAGTATTATATTTTTTGTTTTTAATGTATATTTATTTATTTATTGTTATAAAAGTAACTAAAATTTAAAAATTACAAATTTAAGTTAGATAAAGTAAGATAATGAAAAATAATAATAAAATTTCTTCACGAGGTATGCTCACAAGCAGCTTGTGCATTACATCATTCAATACAGTAACACGAGTTATATGTTCACCAAGTGATTTACAATTAGTATGGCAGGATTATTAGTTAAACACAGTCCAAAGGACAATAAAATTAAGTAGAGACAGATATAACAATTTTACAAGCCTGCAGTTATTTAACCCTACAAATACGGGTTTGGTGGAATCCACCCAGCTCGTAACCACAAAAGTATCCATATAATTTTTGATAATATATGTGTAGCTTTACAAAATTTTGCAGATTATTAGTAAACATTACAAGGCTTTTATACACAAAATATCAGGCTTTTAAATTAAGTATCAAGATTTTTTTATTAAAGATTTATTTCAGAATGTTGACTATCCAACGTGCAAAGTAATTTTGATTTTATGATTTTCTTTATCTGAAATTTGTCAAGTTTCACTCGTGTAATCTTTATATCTTTCTGGATAATCATCAAACGTTTTTAGAATATAAATTACCATTTTTCTTGTTCTAGAATAACTGCAAATTGTAACACAAAACCACAAATGTTTATTCTAAATCTTGTAGTGGTATACATCTATTTATATTTATTAATTTTTGTTTTGTTGACCTTTGAACCATATCTGACTAAAAATACCCCAACACAAGTTGAAAATCACATGGCACTCATGCAGATCCTGTTACCGTATCAAATAGAGTAACGCACAAGCTACTGTTGCAGGTATCCAATGAAGATTTTAATTATTTTAGTTACTTTCATAATAATAAACAAAGAAAACAAGTGAAAAATAAATAACCTCGTAATTAAATATCAAACACTCTTTTGATTAAAGCTTTATATTTTATCTCTTATTTCCTCTACTGTAACATTATAACTTGATTCTACAGGTTGTATAATGAAAATACAGGTTGCAATGTGCAAAATAAGATGTATAGTATTGTCAGTATTGATTGCAAAGTTTCAAAGAGTTTATACTTCTCACCTTTTTTACACTTATTTTCTGTAGTAATTTTATTGTTAGATGAAACAAAATGAATAGTACTGTCTGTCCTTTTTCAGTATGGATCAAGAAGTTCCAAAGTAAATCATCTCGTGGTTTCTTACAATCTTTTCACACCTATTTGCCATGTTTATTCTACTGTTAGCAACTGAATTAGAAACCTGCCAAATATAAAGCAATAAATCATTGCTCCTTAGTTAGTTTGACAACGACAATATCACACAAGCTCTTGTGATGCAATTCCTAGAACTTTCCTTGCTTTGAAAATACAGTGGGGTATGAATTATCAACTTGTTGACAGTATTATTGTTACAATGACAATTGTCTAAAGTATTATAAAATGTTTATGTTATGACTTTGTAGGGCTGATACAAGAAATCGATAAGCGGATGTATCCTACAGAAACTATTCAAATCCTGGGGTAGAAGGCTTCTTTACAGTTCAGTGGTTACAACAAGAATTGTCTAAAATACTTATAATATGGCTCTGTACAAAGTTGTATCCAATTCAATACTCTTGTGTAGTCAGGATTTAGTGGTAATATAGGTGTAAAAGTGCTTATGAACTCCTGTTTCTTATTTTACCATGCTTGCACAGTAACCAATAAATGCATAGTTTCCAATATTTTGTAAAGTACAGCGAGGTTTTGGTTACCATATATATATATATTATAATTATTTACAAATAAATATTTAAATTGCAGTTATTTATCTTAAAACATAAAGTGGTGAAAAAAAAATATTTGGAAAACAATGATCTCCACTGCTTATGATGTTTCGAAGTTCTTTTTTTCCTCTTGTGAGTCGTACTTACTAACCATCATAAACCATAAACTTAACTCCCTCAACATGGACTCGGTTGATTTAACCGACCACTTGACCTCTTTGTACTTGTATAAAGTCCTTATATACTGATACTACTAACTTTTGATATAGTATGTATATCTTCACCAAATTTGGCAGTCTTTCTGTAAAAATTAAGTTTTTCACATACAAAAAATTATTTTTTTAAGTAAACTAAAAAAAGATTTGTCCGTGAATATATTGAGTATTTGTTTTGAATAGTCCATGTGCAAAGTTATTTTCATGTTAAGATTAAAAATACTTTCTTCATCTCAAAAATCTCAGGTTTGATTTGTGTAATCTCTAAAACCTCCCCAAGGATATTTCAAATTCCTATTTCCAGTAAAACTTTACATTTTAAGTGTTCTTTTCTCTACCCTAACTTTATACAATGTTGGTCAATTTTATTGACATCATAACCTCGAAATAACCCTATTTTTCTTTCTAGAATGACTTCAAATTGTAACATAGAACTACGTTCGTTTATCCTAAGTAGCTTTAAACTCGTAACAGTACGTATACATCTATTTATAATGAAATTTTATTGTTTTATTGCCCTTTGAACTGTGTCTAACTACTATTCGCACCATTAGAAGTAGTAACTCACTTGGGGAATGTGAAGCTCATGTTACACTATCGAATTATGTTACCCACGAGCTGCTCGCATGCGTGCTTCCAGAAACATTTTTATTATATTATTATTTATTTTACCTAATCTAATCTTAACTAACCTAAAGAGATCCTCATTTTTACATTTTAGTTACTTTTGTAATAACAAATAAAGAATAAACAAGAAAAAAGTACTTACCCGAATCTTCTTTTTCTTACTGTCGATTATCGATGACACTTAACCATACTTTTTTCTTCTTATATACATATATATATATATATATATATTAATGGTAGTAATGCACTAAATTTTTATTTAATTGAATAACATACCAAGGAAAATAGAATAATAACATGGAAAAAGTAGACAATGTCCCATAACAATCACAATTTTTCTAGCTTTCTAACTATACAACAAGAATCATTACAAAATCATCATCTTTCCTTTGGGAACAAAGCTTGTAATAAGAGTGAAACTGACAATTTTCCATTCAGAAAACAACGTTATATAATACATCCTTGATAGATGAAAACCCTGGCTTTCTATTGACTATAGATAATATAGAATTAAACATAAAAAGAGAACTATTAACAAATCCTGAAAGAGAGGATGTGACAGGTGGGTGTGGCAAGAGAGGTCTGATTTTCTATTTGATAGCTTTTTAATCAAAGAAAGTTGAAGGCTATTAAAATCGTGGCTTGTCTGAGCAATGAAGATTTTACAGTGAGTAATCTATGTTGAATTTTGTACTTATTGGAGGGGTGATGAATAAAATAGAGAAGAAGAGATGTCTAGAGAAAATGTGTCACGTGTCACACTAGGGGAAATTCAGGAATTTTTTAAATATTGCCTTATAAAATTAAGAACTTAAAACTTGTATACTATTAAAATATGGATTATCAGCTAAGATTTTATGATATACTAATTGGTATAACATAAACAAAAAGTAGGTTAATAAAATTTTGAATGTAAGTCACTAAAACTTTGTGACGTGAAGTAAAGGATGTCCATCACAATAGGGTTAACCAATAAGCATATGGCAGAAGTCATTACACTCATAGTTATAGCATATGTATACACATCTTGAGTATTGAAATGCTTCCTTTTTGTATGTTTTGCATTTTTATGTTTCAGAAGTTCCTTTAGCTGTTTTGACTTTTATGGTTTTCTTAATGGGAGCTTATTTTTGTACAATGTTCAATGGAAAGAAAATGAGTTGACCATGCTGTGTCCATCACTAGTGCTGCCACAGTGGAGTGGCTTTCTTCACAATTACTCATCAGTAAAGTAATTTCAAATATATATATTTTATATATTCCACAATTTGCTGAAGAATGAATCTATTTGTTAAACCTAAATGGTATTAGCAGTTAGCTGTATGAAATACAGTCATACACATAAGTTGACATTCTAACTGTATTTGTTGTTTTAATTATATGGTTAATGGTATTGTAAAAAAAGACACTGAATAAAAACAATAAATGCAAATAGTTAGCCCTAAAGATTATGGTAATTATTTCCAAGTTCATATATTTAAAAATCATTTTCAACTTCTCAACAATAACATTAGTTTGAATACTGTTTATTATAACTTACATTAACATTGTTCTAAGTTTGATAAAATCACAGTGTTCAGGATTCTCAACTTCTACCACACCCCATGGGTAAAGCCGACCTCTAACCTTTCGACCTTTTACATCTAGTGTCTGTGTGGTGGATGACACAGCAAAAGGCACAGCTTCCTGTTAAATATAAAATAGTATGATAAGAATGACCATGAACCTTACTTAACTTATTTATTAAATTCATAAATCATAATTAAAGTTACATAAAAATACAATAAATTAAACCTAAAACTGTTGAAGACTGTTGTGAACATAACAAAAGAAATACAATACACGATGTTGCTTTAATTCATTAATCACACTTATATATAGTATGACAAAAAAAATTCCAACTACAGCAACAGTACCATGGATTGAAGTTTGATTAATTAGGACTAATAAACCAAATATTAGTTAAATGAAAAAAAAAGGTTATAGCATTATCCATGAAACGTGAACCTGCTGGGATTACTAATCTATATCAACCACAAACATGTTTGCTTACAATGGTTCATACACCAAAGGAAAAGATTGGTTTATATACCCACAAACATGTCGGCTTCCACACAATGGTCAATAGACCAAAGAAAAATATATTACCCATGAACTTGCAGACTCACAGGCAATAACTGATAGACAAAAATGGAAAGACCAACATACAAAAACTTCATAGATGTAAAATTTCAAAATTAAAAATTTGGTTGTATCATTTTCATCATGTAATGTTATACATGTTCACATAAAATAGAACTATCAATGTTCACAGCATTCTATAAAAAACCTTAGCTCTCTCAAAGCGAGCTCAGTCAATTTGACCAACCATGTGACCTCTTTGTACTCATTGAAAGTCTTTATAGACTTAATACTTCTAACTTTCAATACAGCATGTATATCTTCACAAAATTTGGCAGACTTTTAGTTAATATCATAATTCTTTCCCATACAAAATATATTTTTAATGAAGTATTTTTAATAAAATAAAAATTTGTCCATGAATATATTGAGTATTTGTTTTGAATAGTCCATGTGCAAATTAGTTTTCATGTTTGAATT